TGGCCAGAGAGAATAGGGGCCGTGACCTTCGCTATGAACACCAGCGTCTGCAAATCGTCCGGTTTCACACCTTTCCTCCTACTCCACGGAAGAGAAGCCAGAGTGCCTAACGATCTCGTCTTTGGAACTACTTCGTCGGAATACTATCAATCCCAACATCATCTTGCTTCTCGACTTTATCACCAGTTAAAAGATACGTGGGAACTCGCAGCAAAGAACATAAAGAGGGCTCAGCAGCAGCAGAAGCGATACTATGACAAGTGTGTGAGATTGACGGAGTACAACGTTGGTGACAAAGTGATGGTTTATGTACCTGCGATAAAGCCAGGCAGAGAGTATAACAAGTTCAAGCTACCTCTTACTGGTCCACACACGATTGTTCGGAAGCTAGGGACAGTTAACTTCGAGATTGTGTCAGACGAAACAGGGAAAGAACAGGTGGTACATTTCGACAAACTCCGGAAACTACCAACCAACTTCAGAACGGACCCTACGCTGACAAACCCAGTGGAACCAGACGAGGAGGAAGACCCAGAGGAGAGTATCAGTGATTCAGATGATGACGCTTGGTCTCCAGACTACAGCTACTATGGCCAGACAGCAACACATACGGAACCAGTCGCTGCACCCAGCAGGACAGACGAACCAATGCACCAGGACGTGCCAGAGGACGAAAATGATGACGATAATGATGACGACAATGATCAGCAGAATGCAGCGGAACCTCATGATTCGCAACAGTCCCAGGAACCTGACGCTCAACCTTCCAATGCCAATGACAGGGCTACAAGGAGAGCCGGATTGAGACCCAAGGCAGTGCTACGAGCCCCAGCGAGGAACTACGATATAAGCAGAATCTCATGCATCACTGAGCAGCGACCATACTACTAATCCCCATCCTACAATGCGAACTCCTTACAACCTCTCCTCAAATCTCGGCCCAAGTTGGCACGTATCAGATTCGCCACCAGCATGATCCAGCACTAGGAATGAATCCTGGTTAACGGGATGGTGCACACCCGGTTAACCCCGACAAGACGATCTTTGTGCTGGCCATGATCAGGAAGCCTATCTGATCGGTCAACAAGGAATACGACATCCCTTTTCCTCCAAAGTTAATGCCCTCCTCATCAGCTCATCGTTCGCACTGGCTACCCCATTTGGTTTTCGTCTATTGTGCAGGAAGACACAGTCCCCGAACGTCGCAGCCGACAATGGCTCCTCCGAAGCCCACACAGAAGGAACAGCTGATGAACGCTATAAAAAGTGAACTGTATCAGTATTTTGAGAGTTGGTTTTTAAAATAATCATAAGTACTTAAAAGTGAACTGTACCAGTATTTTAAGAGTTGGTTAGTTTTAAATTATCATAAGTACTTATAACTATAAGCGATATATGTTTTGACCAGTCTGATCCACACCGCCCTATATTTTTGGGGAGGGGGTGGTGTAGGGATCCCAGATATTGGTTGGTTTAAAGTTAACGGTATTTGGTTCCAAGTTCAAACCGTTTTATGTTCAGTGTCAATAGCCATTGCGATCTCAAGCAATTATTTGGCTCATTAGTTAAACCGTTTTTAAGCTTAGTTAAGCAACGCCACGCACTGATTAGATATTTCAGATGCACCGTTAGTATTGCCTCGCAAGCAATCAGCCCATATAAATAGTAAGAGTTTTGGAGTAAAGTTATCCCACACTTTCCCTATTCCCTTCACATTTCCCATCTTCCCTTCAGTCGGTCTTGTTTATACGTGTTGTTACTATTCCCTAATATACCCCTATTGTTCTAACGTTGTTATCCTCCTCGTTTCTCTTTGTTTGATCCTCCTCAAAGTAAATTAAAGTAGGAACACAGCAAACCTACACATTTACTGTAACGAATCATGGACTAAACCAGAAGTTTACGGGAATTTAACTAACTCAAACTGTGGTGACAAACGCTCGATTGTACAACCCTTTGGTGAACTAGGGACCTTTTCGTTTAAATGGGTTTATGCAGGACATAAACTTGTTGTCAATGCATCAAATTATTCCAGGACTGTCAATAAAAGCGTTGGCTACACTGACACTAAAGCTAAGCTGATTGGTTGCGGGAAACCAATCATCTGGCAAAATATGCCTCAAGTTGACTTGCCTCGCGAGTGGCTGATGATAGATTCGGTATCTAAACCGATTGAACAGAAACCAATCGAATCAGCTGAGGAGATTACAAAAGCATCCCAATCATTCGACTTGAAGCCAATTGAATCAGCTGAGAAGACTAAAAAAGTATCCCAATCAATCGACTCTAATTCTGATGGGAATTATGTTGTACTGATAGGCGATGTTGGTGCAGGAAAATCAACAGTATTCGATAAGTTGACTGCTATAAAAGTACGGAAGAGTGATAGTGCCTTCAGTGTTACCAGATACTCTAAACCATATCGGACATACGATAGTTCCATGGTTGTGTGTGATACTCCAGGAAGCAACTCCATCCAAGATCAGCTGCAGCAAAACGAACACATAGCATCAGCGTTGAACTATAAACCCGTTTCTCGGATCCTAATAATTGTCAAAGCTGACACCAGGATAGCAAATGTAATGAGTGTCATCAGTCGATATAGTGAGAGGCTATTGAGTCTGCCTGAAGATATAGTTGGAGTGTTAGTGACTCATATGGACACTGTCTCTTGGACTCCGGAGGACTTGAAGCCACGAGTAAAAGAGGAGTTTGATATAGGATTGTGTATTGTTCAGCAGCAAAGACACAAGTAGAGAAACTCTCCTGGAGAATATCAAGGCAGTCTGCAGCAAAACTGAGAATGTGAAAGTAGACGAGGAAAACTTCTCTCAGTTGTTCAAGATAAATAACAGAATGGTGAAAATTTTGAGGGAGACTACAAAAGAAGTTGATGAAATTAAAGAGATGAGGACACAATTTGATCGACTCACTGATGAGTATGAGTATGACAGCAAAAGGAAGGCTGTATTAGTTCTTCAGTTTTCAATCCTGGATAGAAAGTAAAATATCCGGCGCAGAAAAAAGATTTAAAAGATCAAATAACTTTACTTTCAAAGGAAAAGATGCAGCTAAAGAAAAAGGATATATAGCTAGTATGACTAGCCAGATGAGAGTTTTTCTTCATGACTTATCGGACGAGGCGGATTGTCACAGCGAACAACAAGCGGGTGCTGACTTGGGAAGGGTAACCTTCACATGGAATAAGAGGCAGCTAAGTGTCCGATTTTCTGATACAAAAGCAACGAAGAGTAAAGCCTCTTCGTCAAAAATATCATCAAAAGCGATCAATGAAATGGATACCATCAAACCGCACAACGCAGATAATTTCAACAAACCTTCAGATTATGAAACAACCCATCCAAGGACGGCGCTAAATCCAACAAGTTTAGCAAACTCAAAGAAGCAAAGACTCCCTCCAATCGAGCGTTACGATGCTAAACACAAAGAATCGCAAAACACATACGATGGTGGACAGTGTCAACGTGATTCAGTTAACACAGATATCAATACAAGATCCCATCTAACTATAACAAGAAATGAAGCATCAGGGACTGGAAACTTTTCGTTTAATGTGGGAAATCAGGATTCTAATAGTAATGGAAAGAGGGAGGATACGAGTGATCTCTCAACAAAAATGAAGAACCTTCAAGTTAAGGAAAGGAACTCAGAGTTAAATGGCGATGAGTTGGATAAAAGACCCCATTTCTCATTCGAATTATGCGTGAACGACGATCAAAGATTATATAATTACACCTTTATGTGGCAAAACGGTGACCTAAAGATTCAACCTGGCCAACACGAGACCAAACCAGATAGAAGTGAAATTGAAAAGAATGAGGAATCACTGAAGGTGAAAGTGAAGGAAAATTTTGTTGGGGATCGAGTCTTACCACCGGTAGATTGGCCTCCAGAACTATGGACTTGGAGGAACCTAACAGTGAGCATTGATAAACTTCCCTCTGAGGACCCCAAATGTGAGAACACGGACAGTGGGAACTCTGGCAGTGGCAGTGCAATTGCAAATCGACTAAACCAAACACAACCAGCCAATTCGACTGAAAGACCATGCCGTGGCCGGCGCGGCCGTGGGAAGAGGCATGAAACTGCAGGGAGACACACAGACGATAGGAATCCTAAGCCTGCTGAAGATACTAAACCGAAAAATTCACTTCTTTCCGGGTTCACTAAATCGTTTACCAAACGCTTTGGATCCCCAACAGACTGTGATCACGAGTCTAATGTATCGACTAGCGTTATTACTGAGGAAAATAAGTCAAAGAGGAAATTGAACCGATGTTCTTTCAATGTTGACAACAGAAGTCCGACACAGGGACTCCTAAGTTCCGTATAACTATTACTCCCAGCAGTAGCAGCAACGAAAAGACAAACCGAAACGATACAGACCAACATCTTTACTCAAACAATTTGTGCGATCGGAGGAACAAAACTTCTCCAACTGTTAGCTCTGCCGACTTGAACGCTGACTCAAAAAGAACGAAACTTGATCGCCCAACCACAAGATCAACTAGACTATAATTATATAGTTGTACATTTTAAAGACTCAAAGCACTAAAAAGTAATTTAGGGCGATTGGAAAAGCTAACTTTCTGTTTGTTTCCACTGTTGATTCATTTTGTTCTGTTAATGTTATATTACAATTACATTCGTTGCCCGATTTTGATTGTTCGTTTTACCAAGATCTGAGTATAGAATTTTAACACGCTTAATATATTTTCAAGTCGACGATGATCCGCGACGTGTTTGTCATTTCTATTCGCTTTTTAACTGTAAGTGTAGTAAAATTCAAAATACTGATATTGAATCAGAGATTGCTAATAAAATACGAAAATTCATTTTATGTACCAGTCTACCTTGAATATCTGTGTTTCATTTATCGTCCTGCAATTTATTTTAAGGAACCTTCAGGATGCCCCAATTTTCATGAATTTTCATTGTTCGCTGGCAAAAACCGCTCAATACAAGGATAAATGATACTCTTTTCTACTGTGATAGAAACTGTATAGATATTTACAATATATTAACATAATAAATACTGATGAAAAATTCGGCTGAGTGAATCATAATATCTTAATATAATTTTCATGCGCAATAGTAGCTTTCGTGAAAATAGGAACGAAAATTTCAACAAAAGTAATATTTATTTTGTTATATAGAAAACTTGATATGAATGAATAATTCACTGTACACATTACACATGTGAAAAATTACAAAGCTAATAAATTACTGTACAAAAAGGAGCAATTAACTGAAACAATGTCGATGATACTAATAATCCGAGATGCATATTTTATACCCTGATTTGTCTGAGAGGTATTTATGAACAGATCTCCCTGAGAAGCACTGAAGCTTTGTAGGCACTCAGCACTCCAACTTGACTTCTAGTCCAATAGCGACCTTCTCTTGGAAGTTGCCCACCCAAATCCTGCTGTTCGTGTCTGTGTACTCTCCCTGTCCGACCAGTCTGAAATATCATTGAATTAGTATTGCCTTATCACATATCAGTGTGTTAGTGTTGCCAATGAGTAGTAAGACAAGTTTACTTGGGTTAATAGAAGATTAAGTGTGGTGGAATTATTATCGTAAAACTCATGGAGGGATAAACGTGATTTCATTAATTAATTTTGCAAGAATACTGAAAGCATATTGCATTTATGATGTATATTATGTTGTTGGCTGCACAATAAAACACTTACAAAAAGCTAAACAAATAAAATAAATAAAAATCAATAAAACATCTGGTTCAAAAATTCGATTTTCAAAAACAATTCGATCAAAAATGTTAAATCAGATCATAAAAACATTCCTCAGCAGCAACAATTCTCCTTCACAGATTAAATAAAACGACGAAGTCTTGTCCAAATAGCACGTGACCTCACTGGTCCACATACCGTTCAGTGACCCGTCCGGTCTCACCACTGATATTTGACAGAGAGTTCTTTGACATGGCGTTTAAAAAGAACCCTTTAGGTATCTCCTCACCCTCCAACTGTTTCAAAGCCTGCACCTTATGCTTCAGTTCATCCCGTATCGAGTTTATCTCCTTATCCAAAACTTTCTGATCACCCTCCAACCACGACTCCAAAACTTTCTTCTCGACTTTAACGAACTCATTGCCCATCATAACCCACATGTTTCTCTGCTCCTCCTCGTTTTTAACAGCCCTGATAGCCTGTCTGTTGGTTTGCCTCCTCTTGTCCAGCTCCACCACCTGCTGCTGATCTGCCAGCACTTCTTCTCCTAGGTTCTCCGACTGTCGGAGTGTCTGGAGGTAGACCGGGAGAGCGCGCTCACTAACACGTGACATTGCTACACTAGGGTGTAAGTTAGTTTTTAGGAGAGTAAAAACTGTTGAAGATAGTGTTCTGTGCGCTAATTGGAGAACATTACCAGATCTGATTCTTTCAAATTAGCACTGTTTGTTTATCTTTATTTTTATCTAATAGTCATTAACACACCTACAGTCTACACTGTGTGTACTTACAGCTCTGCCATTAAGTTTTAGATTATAAGTTTGTATAATATTATGTTAAAACCGCAACATTTACAGAGACCGTGGCCACACTACTACTAAGTACTAGGATTTGTATACTTTTCCAGGAATAAGCGCATTTACTGTGGGTGCTTTTAATTCAACCATTTAATTTTACCCTTGTAAATGGAGTATTTTTTATAGTTATACTTGAGGTGTGCAAGTTTTTGATTGCCATACAACTTAACTGTGGAGACGATCAATCAGCGCGATTGAGGTAGTTAGGTTATTAATTGTAAAACAGATAATATTTGAAAATTGAGAGAGAATAATGAGGGGGCCTGGCCGTGGTGCAGCCGAACAGTCCACTAACTCTAAGGCGCGGGCAATGTCTAGAAGTCTAATTTTTCAAATTTTACAATCATATTATGTACAAACTACAATAATACAATATACGGCTAGGGCCTAGGCTACATTTTTATTGAATATAAATTATTGCAAGCTGATCATGAAAACTGTGAGCGCTAAACCCTTAAATTATTTTCAGACTTGATTTAAGCACTACCCAGTACATATGCAGTTTACATAATAAATTATACTGAGAGTGTGTGCGACGTCTAAACTAGCTACGTAAATTAATTTAAATTTAAATTGTGAAACTAAAATTATTAAATTATCTTACTTATAATTATACGATTTGACTTGTCAATTTAATGTTAAAGGATAAGCTGAAGACCCATAATACATTTAAATTCAAATGTATAAAAGCTTACTTATATTGTCCATGCAACAGTAAATTGAAAGTTTAGTATACTAACATGAACTCTGGATCTTTTTACAAGTAACATTATACACATTTTTTTGTACATATGCGATGTTTTCAGGAACAATGATATTTGATACCAACTACATATTTTCATTGACGTGAGGTCATATCGTATTCCTGTCTTATTATATCACGGGTATAAGAGTCAAATGACCTAAATGATAGGAACAGACTGTTCTCTGTACTTTGATAAGATGCTACGCACGTGGGTACAGTTAGACTCGTGGCAAGGGCGCACGATAATTTAGATCTTGGTATGCATGTTAGAATTATAAGTTTTTAAACAGAAAATTTGTTTGTTGTTGAAATTCTAGTACCTTCTGGAGATGACAATTGGATTACAGTATGTGATGAAAATGCGAGAAGGAATATTGAATAACCAGTAAAACCATAGACATAATAACAAATCGAATACCTGGTAATTCAAAATATGACAGCTGAATAAAAATGCATACATAGAAATTCCGAACCTAGAAAACGTCATCATATCATTTCCTAGAAAATCATACAACCCGACCTGCGGTTCATTGCAATGATAATATTATGCTTCACTCATTAAATTCATTCTAAAAACATGCAGCATAGAATGCATGAAGTAAAATATACATAATTCATGAAAATTTAAAACAATCATTGTAATTAGGTCTATTGCTGTTAATTTTTATCTTGGGTTGATTATTGGAAGGGACACTAGTGTTTTTGGCGGGACGGAATTGTCCAGTCTTATTCGTTCTAGAAGGTTCTCCTCCTCCTCGGAGCGGATAGGATCTGGACAGGTTATCTGTAGCTCCCTCACAACACGATCTAAAACAGTCCTGTTTCCCTGGTTTTTTCACGCTGAACCTTAAGTTTCTTCCCGGACACAGCCTCTCCGTCAGAATCTTCTCTGATTCACTCTTTATTTTAGACGAGGCAGAGCTGCTCTTCAGTGCTGTCGGAGAGGTTTCTCGTTCCCAGGTTCTTGCGGCGGTCTCCAACACTTTGGCTGGTTCTTCCCGGGGACTAAGAGGGCAGGAGCCCTGGGTTTGTGGCCGAGTTTTAAGAGCGAGCTTAATGATCTTCTCATAGTGAGGACAAATAGCCTCCTGACAGAAGGAGTAGACTAAACGCTGTTTGTTGCCGTGAGCCAGGATATTCTTCTTGTAGTAATACCTCATAGCTCTGCTCATTTTATCAAAGTTCATGTGGGGTTTGTTCTTCCTGTTCCCCCACTCCCTGGCCACCTCCCGACTGTTGACCACTCTGAACTCGCGAGCAGTCCCAGTCCATGCTATCACACTCTTCATCCTTTTATCAGCCAGCATCTCCAACAAGAACTCCCACAAGTGTAGAGACTTGCCAGTGTTCCTAGACTGACAAGTACAGGACAGTCGTAACATATTCATCTCCTCTCGAGGATTTACAAAACTCCCCTCCTTCTTTACCTCTTTCTTAGGTCTCCAGTCAGAGTCCCGAGACTCCCGTCTGTCTCTGGAGCTGAAGAAGGGACGAGACCAGTTGGGGGATCTCCTGAGGAACCGATTATAGGATGTGTGCGAGCTGCCGTTCGAGTCTAATGAGTCTTGAGAGAGAGAGGACAGGTCGGACTCAGAGGAAATGCTGGAGCAAGAGTCGCTCAGAACATCAATATACGGACCATCCTTGTCAGGAGAGGCTGGAGTTGAGCTGATCGTTTTCTTGATGGACTTCTTGAGAAGAAACTCCTCTGTTAACAAAGCGTTCTTCAGCTTCCAGGTCGGCCGCTTTCTGTTGATAGGAGTCTGAACGGTGGGCAAGGTGATTTGTGGTGACCGAGTGTTTATATCTAACAAGGGAAAGTCAATGTCCATTAGCTGATCAGCAAAACAGAAGGTCTCATGCTCAGGCTGGTCATCCTGAGAGTGGGTAAAGAATTCCTCTTCCTCTAGCGTTGGATACGGATTCCACGGGGCACCAGACGCTGCGGCAAACGAATTAAGGGTCAGTGTCTGAGACATAGCCAACAAATCGCTACTGTTACCAGCACAACGAACTGGGAAGTGAAAACAGCAGGGGGTAGATTACTATTGTAGTTTCCCAGGAATGTCGCGGTGGCTGTACCTCAAAGTTTACGGAGAAATATTTGGGACTTCAGCAAAACTTCCAGGATGCGAATAGCGGAGACTTCCTCGGCTCACTGGATCTCGCAGTAGAATAGAGAGCTTGATTAGCGGGACTAGATCTGATTATCAGGTGGTAGAACAATATGTGCCGCTAAAACGAGCACACTGGAGTAATTTGATACAAAGCTCAGCGAATCCCGATAAGATAACAAGTGAGAGATCTCAGGTAAGTAAATTACAACATGTGAACGCTCGATAACTCTGGTAGAGAAATGAAAAATGTAATGTTAACAGCGCCTCTTACACAGGTGGGCCGGTTAGCAGGGAAACTTGCTACAAGCGCGGTATCACGTGACAGTCACGCCTGCGTCTGAGCAAAGAAATGTGAGGTCCTCAAGTGTATATCAAGCTTTTGAGAAGGTATCTGAGCTCCGTCTCAAAGCGTGAAACAGTGTATTTGAACAGGTCAGACTGTCCGGCCAACAAACGGGTCAGATCAGAATGAACCAATGAAACAGATTAGATAATGTCACGTGGGGTCTGGCGGAAGTCCAACAAATTGTAGCCACGCACCTTACCCTGGAGAGAAGAGAGCTGGTTAGTGTGTGTGTTGTAACCCTGTTAGCAGCTCAGCTCAACAAGACGAGCCAAGTACGAGAAAGCCTAATTAGAGCACCCAGATTATACCAGATTTATCGTGTCCGGATAATCATGTACGGAGAGGAGAGGAGTTAATATCATCTGCGGGGGCCGGGGGCTAATTATAATAATCTTTCAAACTTAGGCCCGTTTCCTAAAGCTCAATTATGGGACCGGCAGCGATGGTAATTGCAACACCGTGTCAATATAAAAGGGTTTGATAACAGATAGCTGTCTTTTGGAACAGGGTTAGTCAATGACTAGTCATACGTTTAAACCTTTGAAAAGAGCTGGTGTCAAAATGTCGATAAAACGGTAAAAATACAAATGATAAAATGGGAAGAACCCTTACAAATCAACTGTGTTTAATTGGTAGAAAAGATGATAAGATTCGATGTTATCAGGTGGCCATCTAACTGATGATTCTCAAATCTCGATGCAGTCGGTAGCATATCGATTGGTTACAGAGGCAACATATAAGTGCGGTGGGTGCGGAATCACATTATTGACCAAATACTGAAATTTTCTGTTTGCAAAATTTTACCGCACCTATATGTTGCGTCTGATTGGTTAATGTTCAAATAAAAGCTTTCAATAAAAAGAGGTTCGCAAACAATTGAGAACAGAAAAATTATGAAACACATCCTACAAAATAAACAAACGAAAAATAAACGATAATTAAGTCTTTGTGTAGCACTACACGTTTACACGGTTCGACAATTACCCTCATTACTAGCTGGGGTTAACCATTTCACAACTTATGTGTTTATTTTAATTACATATTCTCTGCCTATTTTAATTTACAACGCCTTGCTCATATTATATTATGATCCTGGACCTATGTGACAAGTTTACTCCCTAAACAAAACAAAAAACAACAACATAAAACAACTGAAGAAATGGTAGAGGCTGACAGTCATATAGAATAAAGAAATGAACTTGACTTTATCCAAGATGTAATGTTCCAACAAAGAATGTAAGGGAATTAAGGAAACATCTCGTATTAACTCTCCAAGCTGAATCAAACAATGAATTACACCGCGCTCAATGTTCATTAAGATTAGAGACCACACAAAAGGTGGGGCTCATGAAAATCTGCTGCTGTAATTCAATAACCTACAACTAATGTACACTAATAATTAATAGCTTGCACTTGATGGACATGGAGTCTGCACTGTAAGTCTATACTTAATCAGGAGCTTGTAGAACGAGATCTTAGAGCGAGATCAGGGGTATCTAGAAACATAATAATACTCCCAGTTTTATTAACGATCAAAATCTCAGAATTAAACGTTTTCATAGAATATGCAAAATATTACTATGGAAATAATTATGTAATACGGGGAAATTCGTGACCTAATGTAAGGTCAAAGTGGAAGCTAATGACAGACCTGGCAAGATCAACAGAACTGGTGATAACGAATATTAGTTGTGCATGTCGTTGTAACAGAAAATCTGGGAGTAAGATAATTGGTGTTTCAAATAGCTCTGGCGGCGTTTCAAAGGGCTAGACTGGCACTGCTTGTGCCATTGATGCTTCCACTAGAGAGCTGTTCGTAATGAGCTTGTCGTATCAATATCATGGCATATATGTGCTCTGAATGTGGAAGGAAGAGCACACAATAAAAACATTTGATACGCTCACTGGTTTCACAAGTTGGTTCTAAGAAAACATCATGCCTCATTTGATTTGAAGCCCCCCTTACAATAAACCACACAGCCAGCTAATACATACAATAATCTCGATGAAATGAGAGTTAATTTAAAGTGATATCTGGGGGACAGTATTAAAGGAACTGGCAGCATATTAGCAATTAGCATTGTATTTGATTATACTGGTGGCATCATTTGTATTGTATTTACGTCAGAATGTACAAGGTCCATATTTAGGGGGTGTCATGTTCATTACCTCTTTAATATTAGAGAATATTAGAAAAATTGTACTTACTCTAAGCTTTTGTGCGGATGATCTGAATTCTATTTTTACGGTAACTTTATACTCTGATACACATCTGCTAGTTCAATGCAGCTTTTTTGGATTGCTATGAATTTTAATGATAGCTGGTTTGAAATGATTCAACATCAAAATTTGGTGAACATTTTTACAAAAAACTGTACATTAACTTTATTTGATAAAGTATCATCTGGGTATGTAGTACTAGTACAATATCAAAGATTTAATCCTTCCTTAACCAGATAACCTAACGATTAAGACGGGAATTACGAGGACAAGTGATGAAGATTACGAGGGCTGACGAACAGGTGGGACCAACAACTTGTTAGTTTCTGCAGTCTTTTGTTCGGAGGTTACACTGAAGCCAGTAACAGTGTACTATCGGTGCTACATTTGCTCATTTGTTTCTAGCTCTTTTAAATAGATACGTACTAGTGTAGACACGTACTAGTGTAGACACGTACTAGTGTAGACACTAGACACGTACTAGTGTAGAATTTTTGGATGAAAATTTAAAACTCTCCATTTTTTTTCATTCCATGTTCGATCGTTTAAATTGGACGTATTCATAATAACAATCTGGTTTGAAGAAGACACGACCAATGTTGTTTCCCACAGTACCAGTTATCTCAAAATATAACCAGTTTAAGAGCCATATTTACCATATTTTCTTAAAGTACGACCTTAAAAGGAGAATTTTAAGTACCACAAAAAGTGGCAATATACCGAGTTGGACCTTAATCGAAATTCGTAAGTGAATTACATAAACTCATAATTGAGCGCATAAATATATCACACAACCTGTAATCATATCCAGTGCTTGTTCATGGTATTCAGTCACACCTACCACTTCATGCTGCAAGCACAGATTAACTTACAGCTAATTAAACCACTACAATATTAATCAGGATAATGCGTATAAGACACAATATTTACTAATTACATTTAATTCATTCAAATTCGATAACCCATTTATTTTGACCGGATCGTTTCAATACACCCATTTTTTGCTGCGATTAACCACCACAAGGAAGTCAAGTAGAAGTGTTAACACATATTACTCGCGGGTTTGAGCTGGTTTTAATGTCAAAACTGGATCGGACATACCCACATCTTAACGCATAATCTACAGCCTAGACAGTAGACAATGGACCTTATGACCATGCGGCAGAAATTCCTAGACGCTGGATTGATATCAGTTACTCCTGTTATGGAGATTACTGTTAACCACATTGGAGCATTTCATCCTTTCTTTACATACTGGATGTACCACAGCCGCTCTGCTCTTTGATCTTTAAATTTAACAAAATTGTTGTAATTTTACCAACCAACTCAAATCTCTGCCGCATGTAAAATTTCAAAATTTAACCTTGAGCAGCTGGTGAATTATTATCTGGAAAATATTGAAAAACCTGTGGAAATGTGGACGTTATTATATTTTGTGTATTATTACCATGGCACAAGGTAATGAAATGTTATAAATTGCAACAGTAACTCGCTGTTGTGTCCTCACATGATCACGTGAGATAATGAGAGACCACCGGAGTACGAATCAGAATACCAGTACGTATTCTAGTTATTAGTTACTGGATATTTTCTTTGTGTTCACAGCTCACTTGTTAGTTATCTTATCATTCGGCCGTTCGATTTTAAAGAAAATTTGTTTTTAACCATGTTTTTTTCCTATATGTCAATTAAAGAATAAGTAACTAAGTCATGTGAACATGTTGGACCGTGACAGTGACTGATGAATACCATTCCTTATCTCAAGGCGGGACAAGACTCTTTACAAGATTCGTGTCTTAACGAGACAAGTCTCTACACTTTCAGAGTAGTTAATGTAAGTAGACCAATTAGGTCCCACTCCCTAATTACCTAAGTTAAGCTCCTGTAAAACAAGATCTAATCTATCATTTGAGTAGATATCGTCTTAGAACGAACCTTTTTCTTGTGTGTTGAGGCAGGAAGCGCCCAGCTGTATTACTACTAAAACAAGATGGTGACTGGGCAAAACTAAGACGTTACGTAACACTTAATAACGTAACAATTGGTAAGTTCGTAACAATTATAACGTAACAATTGGTAAGTTCGTAACAATTATAACGTAACAATTGGTAAGTTCGTAACACTTATAACGTAACAATTGGTAAGTTCGTAACAATTGATAACGTAACAATTGGTAAGTTCGTAACACTTAATAACGTAACAATTGGTAAGTTCGTAACACTTATAACGTAACAATTGGTAAGTTCGTAACACTTAATAACGTAACAATTGGTAAGTTCGTAACAATTATAACGTAACATTGAATTTAAACTTTTGACATTAGGAGCTGGCTGCTAACTCCGTTGGACTTCACCTCAACGAGAGTAAGACGAAGTACATCAGAGTCAATCTCTCTGAGTCTGACTCTACCGTCATTAAAGCAGCAAGTGGGCAGGAGATAGAGCAAGTAGATGACTTTGTCTACCTTGGAAGCAGAATAATGAGTGCGGAGAAGGACTTTGATGTTAGGAAAGCAAAGGCATGGGGGGCCTGTCATCAGTTAAAGACAACCTGGAAGTCTGGAATGCGCAGGGACTTAAAGATCCGTGTCTTTCGAGCAACGGTTGAGCCCGTACTCCTGTACGGCTCTGAAGCTTGGACGATAAGCCAATCCATGACTAAGCGGATCAATGGATGCTACACTAGAATGCTCCGGATGGCCTTGAACATACGTTGGCCACAAATCATCAACAACAGCGATTTATACGGCAACATCCCCAAGCCATCAGCGATGATAGCCTCCAGAAGAATGAGACTGGCTGGACATGTAGCCAGGCATGACGACCTTCTGGCAAACCAACTTCTGTTCTGGGACCCTCAGCATGGATACAGGAGACCGGGGAGGCCCCACCTTACGTTTCTGGACATGCTTAAGAAGGACACCAGCCTTTCCTGTGTTGAAGAGATAAGATCTGTTATGCTTGACCGCGACGTGTGGCGAGGAATTGTAGTTGCTCGGACCAAGAAGCCGACTTAAGTCAGTTAAGTCAGTAAGTCAAGTCATTAGGATTATTTCAGGGGGTATGCCTGACAGTTATTGGAGCGTTGGGATTTATTCTGAGTTCCAGCGTGGTGGTTTTACTTTTATCTGGTATTGTCAAGTTGCCAGATAGAAAGGTGAGATAGAAAGCAGTTGGGAAAGATAGGGAAGATAGTCTTATCTGTGGGAATTTTTAATACAACTTTATCTTAAATAAGGTTTTATAGTACCTTATCAAAGGGAAAATACCATAGGAAACTTTAGAGCAGAAATTAAGATAAGTTTATCCAACAGACTTTCATTGACATATGCTTGGGATATTTAATGAACAGCTTTAAAATTTAGACACAAATTCCTAACATTATCAATATTCACTCTTCAGTCGATATTCATAATAAATGTCGCCGCGAATGATGTGTTCGTATCAATAGTTGGAACGATAAGAGGACTGGAACTGACTAAAAACTTCGTGGCTTATCAGGATGACGCGGGACAACCTACACAGATCTGTCAGATCCACGCTTTAATATCATCACTTTTTAAGTTAGTAGTAGGTAAAATGATACTGCCTACAACCGAAGTTTGAATGCCAGCTGAGAAAAACGTGCTGTATGAGATTTTCTAAAGTTTCTTTATTGCATTAAGGAAGAAATGTGAACTTTGGCAAAATTAACGATAAGTCGCATGAAATTAACTGCAGAGAACAGACAAAAAAATGTAAATTGAGAATTGAAATTACGCTGGGTGCACTTTACGCATTTATTCAAAACCAGGTACTAAACAATTTAATAAATCTAACTGTAAATCATTACAGGAACAATCTGTCGTGGGTGCTAGTGCCCCTTACATTAGACAGGTTTCTAGCAGTAGTGTTCGCTAAAAAGTACACTACATGGGTCACTAAGAGATCCAGTCTGGTCATGATAGCTGTTCCTTGGGCCCTGCTCATCACACTCAATGTGTATGATTTTATTAGTCTTGGTATCGGGAATATAGAGGTAAGAACCTAGAACTGGCCAGATAAGGACAAATGTTATTATTTATAGATCTCGTAAGGCCGAGCGTAAGTTTTTATTATTGTAGTGTTCAGTAATATAAGGAGTGAAACAAGGCAAATGACTCTTGAAAACTAAATAAAATAATCGACGTTTCGGCACTTATTGGCCTTTCAATGACAATAAGATTCTAAGTATTGTGTGGAATTATGTGGAATTATTCAAAAGGAATTATTCAAAAGCTTACAATATCCAAATCTTTGTATGACGACATGATTTAATATAATAAACCATAGTCTGTAATCTTATAGTAAATAACTCCCATTGTCTCAGCTCAACTACAGCCACTATTCCCAAATGTGCACGTACGGCAAAGAAAGAAGAAAGATAGAGCCGCTAATTTTACTCCTGGTCCCTATGCTTACCATCTGCATCCTCTACTTATTTATGTTTATCATTATCTTGAGACACAAAATAAAATCTGGACGATTCTTTATATCAACCACAGCTATCATAATAACCGGTCTTATCTCCACCCTTCCCGATATACTTATCTTTAGTTTCGAGATGGACACTTCCCATGAAGTGTCCATGGTGTTTAGTGTGACTTTCTTTTATATAAACGGTATCTGTAATCCGCTGATATACCTTGGCAGTCATCGCAAGTTTCAGAGACAAATGGTCTCGCAACTCTGAGTATTTATTTATCTAATTCTTCAAATCTTCACTGCTGGAGAGATTTAAAGACCAGCTGCTAATGATCTGGAAGGACCAATTTAGGGACATTTGGCGAAACGTTTCAGAAATCTCAGATTTTCAGTCTGGCTTTAACTTGTTGTTAAGAATATTGCTGGCAGATGCGGATCGATTAAAACTTTTCAGTCCAATTTCAGTGGATTTAATGCTATAATATGCTCCAAAGGTGCTTCAATTTCAAAGAATTGCACTTTTACCGGAGCTACGAGTTTTAAAGACTGTTAATTTATCAAATTACAACTTACCAACGAATTTAAAGCTTGAATTCAGTTTGTTTCTATTATATTTCACAAGCTGGAGTTCACTTAGGGGAGGGTCATCGCAACACTGAGAAACATACACCTGGCAATCCAGATGAGCCAGAATTCAGAGCACAATTTTACAACTAGATCGAAGATGGAATTACCGTAATTACGGAGAATTTGAGCACTAAGGTAACGTTAAAAAGAGCCATATAAAACTTTTCACAAGAGCACTAGAATCTTCCATCCGTATCAAACTTTAACGTCAACTCCACTGATCCGAATATATTTCACGATAGCTGATGTTATCAGGACCACACGGTATAATCACTATCTCGCCACTAAATTGAATGTTAGTTCAATACAATACGGACTAATCGAATTGCCAACATCTCGTTTAATATTCTGCAATCTATCAGCTGTTCTACTTACTGTTAGTTGGACAGTCTCTTATTTAAACTTTATAGTTTATGCGTTACCACCTGCGTCATGTTTTAATAAGGAATAGTCGAACAGAATACCGTGTCAATAGTTTCAACTGTTCTCTTAATTCTTATTCCTTAGATTCAGCAGTTTCTTTTGCCAGACCTATGTCGGACGATGACGGTGGCGTCTCAGCTCTTTTCCAAAAAGTAAACGTAAGTAACTTATAAAGAGTTTATTGTGATGGTCAGGCTAGTGGGTGCCCTATTTCCCCACTTACATATCCCATTAATGAAGGAAGCACTGAAGCAGATGTAGGGTATTGTAACAAGACATGCTTCGTAAGATCGGGAGGCTTATCCTAAGGATAATGTCAGGTTTATAGAGGTGTGACTCATCAGTCATTTGTCATACAAAGTACACAAAAGCACAGGGACTGTGTTCCAAATAGGCTATCCATTATCGGTATGGAATCTTTTATCTAGATAAACAGATAAAGATTTAGGTTTTATCTAGATAAAACCGATAAAACCGATAATTTTTCTGCTGAAGGCCGAAGCCAAAATGTTTTCCAAATTTCGCAAAAACTAATTTGTCGACTTTTATTACTGTTTACCAGTAATCTTGCTAAAGTACCACTTCCTTTCTTTCGAAAATATTAGAGCATCAGTTTTCTTCTCCGGGGAGCAGAAGTGCACCAGTTTTCTTCAAAACAGTAGACCAACGGTTTTCTTCTCCTAAGAACAGTAGTGTACCAGTTCTCTTCAAAACAGTAGACCAAGGGTTTCCTTCTCCTGAGAACAGTAGTGTACTACCACTTCTCTTCAAAACAGTAGACCCCACCAGTTTTCTTCTCCTGAGAACAGTAATGCAATAGTTCTCTTCAAAACAGTAGACCAGTGACCACCGGTTTTCTTCTCATGAGAACAGTAGTGCACCAGTTTTCTTCAAAACAGTAGACCACCGGTTTCCTTCTCCTGAGAACAGTAGTGCACCTGTTTTCTTCAAAACAGTAGACCAAGGGTTTCCTTCTCCTGAGAACAGTAGTGTACTACCAGTTCTCTTCAAAACAGTAGACCCCACCGGTTTTCTTCTCCTGAGAACAGTAACGCAATAGTTCTCTTCAAAACAGTAGACCAGTGACCACCGGTTTTCTTCTCATGAGAACAGTAGTGCACCAGTTTTCTTCAAAACAGTAGACCACCGGTTTCCTTCTCCTGAGAACAGTAGTGCACCTGTTTTCTTCAAAACAGTAGACCAAGGGTTTCCTTCTCCTCAGAACAGTAGTGTACTACCAGTTCTCTTCAAAACAGTAGACCTCACCGGTTTTCTTCTCCTGAGAACAGTAACGCAATAGTTCTCTTCAAAACAGTAGACCAGTGACCACCGGTTTTCTTCTCATGAGAACAGTAGTTCACCAGTTTTCTTCAAAACAGTAGACCACCGGTTTCCTTCTCCTGAGAACAGTAGTGCACCTGTTTTCTTCAAAACAGTAGACCAAGGGTTTCCTTCTCCTCAGAACAGTAGTGTACTACCAGTTCTCTTCAAAACAGTAGACCTCACCGGTTTTCTTCTCCTGAGAACAGTAACGCAATAGTTCTCTTCAAAACAGTAGACCAGTGACCACCGGTTTTCTTCTCATGAGAACAGTAGTTCACCAGTTTTCTTCAAAACAGTATACCACCGGTTTTTTTTTCTCCTGAGAACAGTAGTGCACCTGTTTTCTTCAAAACAGTAGACCAAGGGTTTCCTTCTCCTGAGAACAGTAGTGCACCAAATACCAATTCTCCTCGAAACAGTTAAGCATTTAAAGTGATTCAGTGAACCGTTTTCTTATCCTGTTGATAACTTGGAGCAACAGATTCCTTCTCCTGAAAACAATGTTTCACGCCCAGAACACTTACAGAATTAAATTGAGTGCCCTGCCGGTATTTTTTACTTTTGTTAACAGTTACATGCTCGTTCCCGTCTCCAGAATGATTATAAGGTAAAACGCCAGCACCCTCAAGAGAACAATATCAATAACCTTCTCTGGATTTCAGCAGTTCATACAGTTCTACAGTTCCATAGGTATATAAATGTAAATTAACCTCTTAAGCTCACATCTAAGTAAACTACCTCTTCTATCATACTAGAAGACGTTTGGGACTGTTTCTTGGATTACTTGGGAAGGCAAAAACACTAATATTTCTTTACAATTTTACGGTATTGTGGCAGTATTTTCGGTAATATCTAGTGAATTTTTATACCGATAAAAATATGTTTTATCTAGATAAACAGATAACTTATTTTAACGAATTATCGGAGATAATTATCGGTTACGATTATCGGAGTGGATAGCCTAGTTCCAAAAGAGTAAGGTTAAACTTCGATAAAAAGGATAATTGTTGGCCATTGTTAATGAAATGTGGTGTATAAGCTGATGGTAACTGTTCTTTGAAAGTAAAGTTGACCAATAAAAATGAATATGAGACGGCATTTTTAACGGAATATGGGATGAAGGGTTGCTACTATTGGAAATGAATAATGATGTATCACTCGGATCCTTAACAACATCTGGTTCACTATATAAGATCGTCTCGTACAGACGTTGTTGCGCTAGAGTCAGAGAGTTGTTTTAAATGTAAAGTGTTAACTCCGTATTCCGTAACGGAATGTAATCCATACTACGGTCTCAGCTCTCTAGATAAAATCAGTAGTACTTATTCCTGTGTAATATGTTTGGTAAAAATGAACGACTGAAGGCTATCTGGTATTTCGAATAACAAATGTCAGTTTAAATGAGTAACGCTCTCTTTGTTAACGTGCAATTTTTTAATTTGTCTCCTTTTTAAGCACAGGATCTCTACTATGCTGTTAATAACTTTTCATCGCTGTCCTTAAATAAACAAACCTTCATACTTCAGGGGTCGTGTTTGATAGGTATTGGTTTGTTAGGATTCATACTCAGTGCTACAGTCATCTACTGTTTACTATTCAATGTTATACAGCTACCAGGAACAAAGGTAGGAAGTTGTTGTTCTTAAGTATAGTTTCAACACTTTTCACTACCAAAATAAGGCTCGAGTGAGTGGACACTTTCACTGGCCAAAGGAACATTTTTCTTCGAATTATATAATAGGGATGTCTCAAATAGTTGAGCAGGGCCCTTCTAAATTCGATACACTTTTAGGTCACTCGCGAAACCAGGTAATTGCAGTAAAAGTGTCTTAATTTCAGAGCGTGTTCATGCTAAACGTATCAGTGAACGATATGGTGATGTCAATCTTAGCAGTTTTCAGAGGACTCAGTTACATCAAACCGTATTATGCGGGTAAAAATAACGACGGAACGACAAATGCTTTCTGTGATATTATCCCTATGATAAGCTATCCTTTCAGGTAATGCCTTATAAAGAAATGAACAATTCACGAAATCTAATATGTCACAAGTGTCATTTGATATAATTTGCTTGATAAATTATATTCGATAAAACG